GGTATGTGCCCTTGGCGGGAATCGGAATTGACCCCAGTTGGTCCATAGGCCGAAGCTCCAACTGCTAAGCCAAACAAGTCAGAGCATTTTAATAGTATTCTTAAAAGGCCAGTAACCCAGTCTTGAAAAATTACTTATACTTCTAGGAATATACCCTACGAAGCATAAAACACCAATCAGAAAGAATATATGTACCCCCATCTTTGTAGCAACACTATTTACAATCGCTAAGATCTGGAAACAGCCCAAGTGCCCATCAGTAGACGAATGGATCAAAAAGCTGTGGTACATATACACAATGGAGTACTACGCAGCGGTAAGAAAGAAAGATCTCTTATCCTTTGAGACTACATGGAGGGACCTGGAAAGTATCATCCTAAGTGAAACAAGCCAAACAGAGAAAGACAAATTTCATATGATCTCACTGATTTGTGGAATATAATGAACATAACAGTTTGAGGAATGGGGTAGCCCCAGAGATGCGGAAGCGGGGTACAGACTGACAATCCCCTAAGGAGTGGGGAGGTGGGGGAGGGATGAACCACAGAACTTATACGCATGTATGCATGAACAGTGGACATGGACAACAATCTGGGGAAAGGGCAGGGAGGGAAGGGGGAGGGGGGAATCAGTGGGGGAAAAAAGGAGAATCATCTGTAACAAAAATTAATAAAAAAAAAAAATGACTTATAATTACATTTCTACTCTTTATTGAGTACATTTGGCCCTCTGTATCCACAGATTCTGCATCCATGGATTCAACTAACCCAGATCAAAAGTATTTTTTAAAAAGTTACATTTTTGTTGACATATATTATTTAGTTAGGCCTATGTAGTTAGGACTACTGTGGTTGAGTCTGTACTGAATTTGTGCAGCCTTTTTTTTTCTTTTCATTACTCCCCAAATAGTACAGTATAACAACTATTTACACAGCATTTATATTGTACTAGGTGTTATAAGTAATCTAGAGATGATTTAAAATATAAGGGAGGATGTACATAGTTATATGCAAATACTACACCACTTTATATAACAGATTTCTGTATTCATGAATTTAGGTATCTGTGGGGGCCTTGGAACTAATCCCTTGGATACCAAGGAATAACTGTATCAAAATATCTTCACAGTGGAAACTTCTTTTTTTTTTTTTTTTTTTATCCTCACCCAAGGACATTTTTGCCTTTATCTTCAGATAGAGCGGAAGGGAGAGAGGGAGGAAGAGAGAGAAACATCGACATGAGAGACACATTGAGTGGTTGCCACCCACAGGACCCCAATTGGGACTGAGGATAAACTGCAACCAAGGTACATGCCCTTAGCGGACACCGAACCCAGGACTCTCTGGTCCGCAGGCTGACACTCTAACCGCTGAGCCAAACTGGCCAGGGCCATAGTGGAAACTTCCTTTGGTCACCTTTTCCAGGCTTGTCTTTGTCTTGTCTGGAAAAGAAACTCTGATGCTTCCAGTTAGCTCAGATGACCTCTTCTCCTGTTTCAGCCTGTTGCTGATGCCTTTTGCATTAGGGATGGATTCCTGTGCCATTGCCAGGAAAACATGTTAGTCATTCTCCTTTAAGTTAGGGCTTATACTGCTGGCATTCAAGTGTCAAATTGTAATAATCTGTAATATATTTATATTTTTAACTCACATTGCATTTGAACATTAACTACATGTCAACAAGAAAAGAAATGGTTCTCCTTTGGTTGGGAAGCAACATATGGGCAGAGTGCCACATCAGCTTGTTCATGGTACCACTGTTTCTTTATCAAATTACAAATATTCACGCTCTAGACTCCTCTTTAATCAGGAAAAGTGAGTTATTATCAGAGGCCACAGGGCCTTTTAAAGTCATTGTCTTTGAGTCTTAGAGCATGAAGAAAAAAGCATTCTTTCCTGAGACAAATGAGCTGTTTTTAGCTGAAAAGAAAACAGCATAGAACTCATCACTGAGTTCTGATAAATTTGATAGTTAAAACAAAAGATAAGCCCGGCCAGTGTGGCTCAGTGGTTGTGTCGACCCATGCACCAAGAGGTCACCAGTTTGATTCCCGGTCAGGGCACATGCCCAGGTTGTGTGCCAAATCCCCAGTGGGGGGCATGCAGGAGGTGGCCAATCGATGTTCTCTCTCATCAGTGTTTCTATCTGTCTCTCATTCTCCTTTCCTCTATCCAAATCAATAAAGAAAATAAAAAAAAGATGGTAAAGAAAGCTTTGTAATTTGTAGAAACAAGATGGCAAGTGCTACTATGGCTGGATAGCTCCCTGGAGGTAGGGTGAGGGTGGGGGAGGGAGGTATTTGGGAGTCCCTCCACACTTAGGAGCAGGACAAGCCAGAGCAAAGCTGGGCTGAACAGGTCAGAGTAAAGTTTCTGCTCTCAAAAGACCAGATCAACAGGCAGGACTTTAGGGTGGAGTTGGAATGTCAGCTGCTGGAGGTGAAAGAAGGCTGTGTCTGGGGCTGGTTGAAAAAAGGGTGGAGCTGATGGATAAGGTGGTTGTTAGGCAGGCCAGGGAAATTTTTGGTGATCAAGGGTCCTAGATGAAGGGGTTAAATTTTCATGATCATATCAGCTTGTGTGGCTTGAAGAAATCTGGGTGAAGTTCATCCAGCATTTTAAGATTATGAAAAGGAAAAGGGCTGGGATTGATTATGATGCTATAGGTCACATGTATCACTGTAATCAGCCTTAATAAGGGCAAAACATGTGGCTTTGGAGAAGGACCTCAGAATGAGATCATAGTGGTACTATGTAAACAGACAGTTTGATAGTGTGAGGAAGGATCCTAGGATTTCAGCCAATTTGGAGTTAGAAGTGAACTGCAATGGTAGTTTTTTTTTTTTTTTTTTGATGGCTTAGGTGTATTTTATTGGTTTTCATTCAGAATCCTTCTACAAAAGAGCAAAGTTAAAACGCAAGTCCCTAGTAAGAGATGGTAGTTTTTATATCAGAAGAGCATGTGATTAGAAAAATGCTGGAGGGGAAAAAGCAGGAGTCTAAATTGTGTTCTACTAATCCTTAACTAGTATTTCCTGTATTTATACTTGTATTTATGATTAAGCAACGTGAAAGAAGTTTTCTACAGGACTTTTTAGGGCCTTTAAATTGGTAATATTAACCTATTAATATTTCATGGCACATTGTCCTGGGGAATACAGTTTGGGAAAGGCACAACCAATTTCAACCATCATATAAAACAAAAACACCGAAAGGAAGCAAAGTATTCCAAAATGTCAACAATGAATGATTCTAGTTGAATTATTTCTTTTATTTCCCACACTTACTTTAATGAGCCTCTATAAGTAATACAAATTTAAAGAAAGCAGAATTTTAAAAGCTGTGTGACCTTGAACAGGTTCCTCAACTTCATCAGGTCTCAGTTTTCTCTTCTATAAAATAATTCCTACCTCATGGGTTTGCTATGAAGATTAAATGAATTATGATATCCAAGTCACGCAGCACAATGTCTGGCACATACTGTAGGAGCTAAAGACAAGCTACGATATGGTAATCATCAGTGAGTGATTAGAGTTTTAGAGTGTAAGATAGGCATGCTGGTTTAACTAAGGGCACTGGTCCACTGACTATGACATTAGGGAGACCAGAGCCACCATTATCTGAACTTTTAGCTTCCTCCTGAAGCAAAGAATTGCAGAAGCTGCCCCAGAGTGTAGGATAATGTTTTCTTTTTTTTTAAACATCTTTTTTTTATTAAAAAATTTTTTTCTTTATTGATTTTTAGAGAGAGAGGAAGGTAGAGGGAGAGAGAACATCGATTGGCTGCCTCCTGCATGCCCCCCACTGGGGAGTGGTCCTATAACCTGGGCATGTGCCCTGACCCGGAATCAAACTGGCGACCTCTTGGTGCATGGGTTAACACTCAACCACTGAGCCTTACAGGCCAGCTAGGACAGTTTTCTACAGGACATTTGGCAGGGATGATAATAAATTCCCAACTGAGAACTTTTTGTCTTTTGGTGACCAGCCTATGAAGACTGCATTTTACAAACAAACAAACAACCTTCCTGATCGCTTGGAACTATATTTAATCATTGTACCAGAGAAAGGTATTTAACAACTTCCTTCTTCTAAAATACCCAAGATACTCTGATGAGTGAAAAGAACTTGTGCTTCATTCACAGTGCCTCCAGTATTATTTTGGCAACTTCACTGCTTCACAATTGTGATTCTTGGAAACTTGTCATTAAGATTCTTCAGAATTCTTAAATAACTTTTTCTGACTTCACTTATTTAAATATCCCAGAATAGCCTCTTGAGCTATAAGTTTGACATCCAGGAAACTATTTATAGCAGGATGAGTACTCTCTGTGACTGATGTTAATGTTTTATTTTGAGAAGGACAAATCCTTAACGAGATTGATAGGGTTGATGGTATTTTAAACTGAAAGCAGTGCCAAGATAAATAAGGCATGTAGATATGGAATTGGACAGAAATATGGGTGTGCTTTTTGCCAGTTTAGCTAAAGGCTGGGAGGCCTCCTACAAGAAGGAAGGCAGTCTGTAAGCCAGACATAGTGATCTTTTAGATGTATTAGACACTTTTGCCCAGGACCTGGCCTCTTGTTTGTTCAGTGCTTAATAATGCAGAGTAGACTAATGGAGACAGACTGTCATAATTAAGGCCAATATTGTCCTTGGTGTTACTGATATTGACATTGGTAGGAGAAAAATAGGAGATAGAGGAAGGGAGATCAAGGTCAAGCTAACTTGAGAAAATACTTTGTGTCTATTGTTAAATAGAATCACAAAATAAATATTTAGAACAAGAACTTACCACAAATTACAGGTGATTCGGAGATTGATTTCCCTTCTTCTGAATGGTATTAAGCAATTTGACAGACATGCTTATTACACAGAATTGCTTCCTGATCGCAAGCTGGCTTCCTCTTCCCACCTGGAACACTACCTCTCAGCAACTCGCTGCTCTCCCAGATGCCATGTAATTGAGAGGCCCTTAAATTGAGATTCATTAGTTTCAACCTCCCAGCATCACGTCCGGAGAGTGGCTAATATTCTGCCAGCTTCGGGGACGGGAGGGAAAGCAAGCCGGGTAGAGAGACCCATTCCATTCCCCTCTTGCTTAGTAACTGGTGACTGGAAGACACTCTGCAACGATGTTAAAAAAAATTTCATTAACTTCCTGTAATCCTACCACTTTACTGACTGGTCTGAACGGACCGAGGTAGTTTACCATCTACATCCCTTGGACCCAGCTCAGGTCAGGTGCTTGGAATATATTAGGGGTGAAAAGGATTCAGTCCTGTGGGCTCCTTAGTCTGACCTAAGGACAGGAGTGGTGTAGGGAACGGTGCAACAAGGCTGAAAGAAAACAAAACAAAGTAACACACAGGGCGCTGGGATTGAGTGTTCCCTTTGCGGGAGAGGGCGCTGCCTTTGACTTTGACATAGCTCGATATAAGGACCTATTTGGGGCCGTGTTCTGACAGCCTTCTCCGCTCGGGCCAACCTACCCCGAGGGTAGTAGGAGAGCCCTTTGGACTTTGAAGATTAGCTCGCACTCCATTTTGGGGGCTCAACACAAGGGTGCGGGGGCAGGAGGTCCCACCACCGGAAGTCTCTTTTGATAAAGAAAACGGCGGAAGTAGGCCAAAGGCACTACTATTTGCATCCAGCCGGCTTTCCTTCCTTTTGGCAGGGGAGGTGCTCCGCTGTTTTTTTGCTTCAGTGGAAAGCAGCTGCTGTAGATTCTGTGCGACGTTGAATTGGCTAGCTCCGCCTCCCAATCATTTTTCCACCTTTCCAGGTTCTCGAGCCTGGACCTGACGTAGGGTTGTACGTAACTGGGGGCGGGACCTCAAAAGGAAAAGCGTCTGAGCCGAGATCTCGCGAGAATATTCCTTTCCTTCGCAGTTCTCGCTCTGCAGCTGCACTCTCGCCGCAACGAGATCTTTCGAGATCTTCTCCGCCCCCGCTACCCGGCGCCCTCTCTGTGGCCGCTGAGCCGGAGCCGGCCTGAGCAGCACGCTCCGCAGGGGCCCCATTTCCGAGGACCTAGGCGCTCGCGTGGGCAACCTTACGCCCCCAAGTAGCACCGGTCACCCGGTCTACGCGGCCTGCTCTCCGCGCGCCAGCCCCGCCGGAGTCCGTGTCCTGTCTCGCCGGCCGGACTCGGGCTCGAGCCCGAACTGTAACCGGCGCCATGTCGGTGGTGGGCATAGACCTGGGCTTCCAGAGCTGCTACGTTGCTGTGGCACGCGCCGGTGGCATCGAGACCATAGCTAATGAGTACAGTGACCGCTGCACTCCGTAAGTGTGGGCCTGGCCGGCCGCGTGCGCTGGGGGGTGGGGAGGTAGGTATTGCTCAGGTCTGCGACGCTCGCGGCTGGGGAACACGGGCCGGGGCGTCAACTCCGTTCTGAACCGAAGGCCCAGTGGATAGTGGACCCCCACCAGAGGCCAGGGCACTAGTGGCCGCGACCCGCCGTGTGGGTCTGCACCGGGGGCGAGGCCTTTTCCCTGTGTCCCGCCTGCTGAGCGAAGGCGGTGAGTGGGTACTCAGACTAGCGGAGGGCACGGGTAGGAGCTGATGGGAAGGCAGGCCTGGGCTGTAGGATGGACCAGGATCCTCCTTCAGCGGGCAAAGACCAGGCCCAGGGCATATTGACGTTTCTCTGAGTCTGACACAGAATTCGTAGCTTTGCATACAGTAGGCACTTAATAAAAGTTGAATGGTTTCTGGCGTCTGCTGGCGGCAAGACGGTGGAGCGGCCAGGACTCCCACGTGAGTGGGGGCGGGGCGGCGCCCGGAAGCGGGGGAGCAGGAGAACCTGAGGCTCAAGCTCCAGATGGACCAGAGATCTTGAGCTTGGGGTGGTACGGACAGATACCAAGAAAGTATTTGGTAAAATTGATGCCTTTTGATACCTTTACATTCACTTTGTTTTTTCACATCGTTTTAGTGTATTGGACTATGTTGGGTCATTTTCTGTTACTCTGTACCCATCCACTTCCACAGTAATACATTCCAACCAGGGTGTTGGCCACCATTGTTAATAAATGACTCAGGGGCTTACTTTGACAACTAGAACATATAGTAAGTTATGGGACCAGTATAGACACAGTTAGAAAAAAATCATGACTCACCATCCAGGTCTTCCTTTTGTTAGAGTAAGAGTCTACTTTTTTTTTTTTTAAATCCTCACCCAAGGACATTTTTCCATATTTTATTCAGATAGAGCAGGAGGGAGAGAGAGGAAGAGAGAGAGAGAAACATCAATGTGAAAGGGACACATTGAGTGGCCGCCACCGGCATGACCCAACCAGGGCTGGGGACAAACTGCAACCAAGGTACACGCTCTTAGCGGGAACTGAACCCGGCTCCCTGTGGACCGCAGGCCAACGCTCTAACCGCTGAGCAAAACCGTCCAGGGCAGTCTACTTTTTGAGTACATAGAGAAATCTTTCAGTCCATTCCCTTCCTCATGGACAAAATCTTTTAAGCTTCATACTATTTGCTAGGTTTTCAGTGTTGCCCTTCACAGGTATCTGTTCAAAGATATGGTTTTCACCCTAACGGTTTTGTCATGCTTTTTTTTCAATCCTCACCCGAGAATATGTTTTATTGATTTTTAGAGAGTGAAAAACAGGTGTAAGAGAAACATTGGTGGGTTGCCTCCCTATGCACCCATACTGGGGATTGAACCCCTGAACCTAGTATGTACCCTGACTGGGAATTGACTCCACAACTTTTTGATATACAGGACGATGTTCCAACCAACCTGGCCACTAGGCCAGGGCTGATGCTCTAATTTTTATAGGCAAACAGCAGTTTTACCATAAGTTCCATTATTTGAGTTCTTTCAGGAAAAAAAGAACTTGTTTCCAGATAGAAATTAAATTTGTCTCAAAGACTAAGTGGTGTGTGACCAGATACACTATGTAATTGTGATAAAGGCCCAAATGGGTAAGTACAGGATACGAAGACACAGGGATCTAATTTAAATTGTATGTAGGATGGAGATGGAAGGTGCTCTTTAAAAAGTGCCGTTTAGCCCTGGCTGGTTTGGCTCAGCAGTTAGAGCGTCGGCCTGCGGTCCAGAGAGACCCGGGTTCGGTTCCTGCTAAGGGCAGGTACCTCGGTTGCAGTTTGTCCCCGGCCCTGGTTGGTCGTGTGGGTGGCAGCCACTCGATGTGTCCCGTCGATGTGGGTAGGAATTTACCATGGAAGTTCTTGCTCTGAGGAAGAGCTGTGCCAGGCAGAAGGAACAGCATTGAGGAAGACCTGCTGCAAGAAGAGCTTGGCACATTTGGCAGATTGAGAGGATTATAGTTACTCTTGAGCCACTTGAGAGAATGATGTGAGATGAATCTAGAGAGGAGTTAGACCTGGCAGACTAGATTATGGCAAAGCTTTGTAAATCATGTTATGGGTTTTTATTTAAGTGCAGTGTGAGGTGACCTAACTTAAATTCAAAAAATGTGATTAACTTTTTTTGTGGAACAAGTATTTATTTGGGAAGGGCAAGCGAAGAAGCAGGGTGATAACTTAGGAGACCGTTGTAGGATTTAGTCCACATGGGAGTTGATGTTGCTCTTCACTAGTGTGGAGGCATGGGAGATGTGTGGGCAGCTTTGAGATAAACTTTGTGGAGTTCTAAATTAGGAGAGTCCATATTTATGGGTTTTAAAACAAATTTTTTTCCTTATTTTTAGAGAGAGGAAGGGAAAAGGCAAGATAGAGACATCGATGGGAGAGAACATCGACTGGCTGCCTCCTGCATGGTCCCCACTGGGAGTCTGGCTCACAGCCTGGGCATGTGCTGTGACTGGGAATCGAACCAGTGACCTCTTGGTGCATGGGTTGACTCTCAACCACTGAGCCACACCGGCCAGGCATGTTGATGGTTTTTTCCTGTTTGCTTGAAAAAGACGGGAAGGCCCCCCCCGCCCAAAAAGACTTAATTGGATTATCACACTAGGAAGGGTACAGCCATAAAGCCTTTTGCAATAAAAATGTTACCGGGGACTGTCAAATAATAGAGTAGTTAATTGAGCTATACTTCTTCCAAAATAAACAATTTATAGGGTAGAAATGAGTTACAAAATTTTTTTTTAAATCCTTACCCGAGGATATTTTTCCATCTATCTTCAGATAGACTGGGAGGGAGGGAGGGAGAGAGAGAAACAAACATAGACTTGAGAGGGATGTATCGACTGGTTGCCTCCCACACTACCCGGGCCAGGGCTGGGGGCGAGCCACAACTGAGGTACATGCCCTTGACTGGAATCGAACCTGCAACTCATTGGTCCGTGGCTCATTGGTCTGTGGGCTGACGCTCTAACTGCTGAGCCAAACAGGTCAGAGCATGGAATTTTTTTTTCAGTTTACATTTAATTTTTGTATTAGTTTCAGGTGTACAGCACAGTGTTCAGTCATACACTTCACAAAGTGTCCCCTCTGATAGTTCCAGTACCCACCTGGCACTATTCATGGTTACTACAATATTATTATATTCGCTATGCTGTACTTTACATCATCCTCACTGAAGAAATTTTTGCATTCATCTTCAGATAGAGCAGGAGGGAGAGAGGAAGGAAGAGAGAGAGAAACATGGATGTGAAAGAGACACATCAACGGGTTGCCACCCACACAACCCCAACTGGGGCCAGGGACAAACTGCAACCGAGGCACGTGCCCCTAGCGGGAACCGAACCTGGAACACTCTGGTCCGTGGGCCAATGGTCTAACTGCTGGGCCAAACCGGCCAGGGCTGTTTGGGTTTTTTAATCCTCACCTGAGGATATTTTTCTGTTTCTCTTCAGACAGAGTGGGAGGGAGAGAAAGGGAGAGAGAAACATTGATGGTGAGAGGGACATGTTGACTGATTGCCTCCTGAATGACCCCGACCAGGGGTGGGGACGAACTGCAGTTTAGGTACATGCCCTTGGCTGGAATCGAACCCAGGATTCATTGGTATGCTGGCCGACGCTTAAACTGCCTAGCCAAACCGGCTGGTGCCAAACTGTTCTTTTTTAGTTGAAGTAGTAATTTTTATTTCTCAGGGGTAAATGATTTTAAAGATGGCTGACTGGATTTTAGTGGACAGTTTGAGAAGGTGAAGCAGAATTTTCATAGCAAACTAGTAGGTATATTTTT